AGCCCACCCCTCACCCCAGCGACCCGGTATGAGGTATTAATAAGAGACTGGGCCTACCCGCCGTGCTAAGAAAAGTACGTATAACCGGTGTCGTGCGCACTGTAACCGTATGGGAAGTTTTCCAACCCATTCATATAAGCCTTAATATGCATGCATAAAGAATGCAATAGAGAATTTTCCCTCCGTGCTAAGAAAAGTGCGTAAAAATACTTAGAATGTAATTTTCTCCGTCACGCTAAGAAAAGTGCATACATGTACTCAAGAATCCGTGCATTTTATATCTTTAAGAGCGAGGCAATGATGTCAATGATGGTGAGACAATGAATTTTGTTAAACACCAAATATAATAAAACTTCTCACCATTTTTAAACAAAAAATCTTTATATTTATATAAATAAATGCATAGAGATATGGAAGGTGATAATAGTGATTAATAGATATCTAGATTATCAAAAATAGTTTGTGGCGCGATTTTAGGAGAAGCAAACTGAAGGAGATTATTGATGAGGGTTGTTGGAGTTCGGTTGTTGTACACAAAAATGAGAGACAGAGACTTGATGGGGGGAGGTTGTGGTTCTATAAACAATGGCGAAATGGGCTTCTAGGGGTCTCAGCATTTGGGTAAGAACAGAAAGTGGGGAAGGGCAGAGGCAATGTTGTGTGCATGAGAGACAGACTGGCATGTACCATGTGAAACAAAGGGGAAACAGACGTGAGCAACAACCCAAAGAAGTTGACTATGCAAGGGATTTATAGGTATTTTAACGCTGTTGAAAGTTGCGGGTAGAGATTGTAGGTGAATATGGGAACAGGCAAATGAGGGTGACGGGATGGTGTTGGACAGCGAGATCTCTCGTGCAGCTTTGTACCAGAGGGAGAAGCTCGGTTGGCTGTGAGCGACAATGCAAAGGGGGTGGACGTGGCACTCTCGAGTGTGGGTTGCGACGAAACAAAGAAGAGGGTTTGCTTCGCGTGAAACAGTGAGCAAGATGGGCTCTAGGTCGTGCAAACATAGGCAAAGGAGAAGACAAGGGGAGAGGAGCCACATTCATGCATTTCGAACAAAGAACGTGTTCGTGTATTTTGACAAAAAAAAGGAACGAACATGTACCTCCTTCAGTTATGGTCATGACGTGAAACAGTGAGTAATGAGATCAAAGCAGGATTAAGTATTAGAATTTTAATTTATTTTCTGTTTTTGTAATTCGGTTTCAACTGTCAACACTTAGCCATTTCTCAACCACATATATAATAGGTGAGAATAAAATATGAAAAAAAGATGACCGAGTAACAATAACCTCTAAATTGTGGAAGTAATACTATAGTAAGGTTGACGCAAGTAGATGGATTAGAGGTGAGTCTCAGGAAATGCATGAACAAGAACTCGTAGTAATTCATAAAGTATGCTTAAATCTTACCTCATCAACACAAAGACGAGAAGGTTCTTTGGCAAGTTCCAAAACTCCTTTGATTAAAGACCTCAAACCTTTCTCAGGAGAAATAAGATAAGGTTGATAACCATCAGCTTCCAGGACAATCTAGAATGCAGCATCAATATCAGGAAACATTTAGGTAATAAAGCATAAAATAAGCTTAGGGTACCAGAAGTCAATGAAATTTGAAGTGATTATTAATACCCTCTTAACGTTGTTGATATCAAAGTGTTTGTCCAGTGGAAGCTGCTTGATCCTGGTAGGGAAGTTGCCCTCAAAACTAGCAACAACTTTCCAACCCCCACCCTGTAGTTTATTAAATAGAACAATTCAAAGTCATAAAAATTATAGTTAAACAATGAAAGTATTAAGAACAAGAAATTACTAGGCAAAAGTGATTTAAAACATAAGACCACATCATACAAAAAGAAATGATAATGAAATAGACTTACACTAAGAACACGTTTGATTACATCCAAAAAGAGAGACGCGAGAAATAAGCAGTGAGAAGTAGGGAGTGGTGATTGCTAAAGCTATCTGGTTGGCAAGGAAAGTAATTTCCTCCCAAAGAAGTCACAGGTATAATTCTAAGCATCCTAACTTTGGACCCATATATTCCGAAGTTCCTTTGAAAATCATTAAAAAGCAATAATTTATATCTTTAAAGAGTTAGTACTTGTATGCACATGCAAATCATACATATATTCAAATAAAAATTTAATATATGATATCATGTTACATATATTCAAATAAAAATTTAATATATGATATCATGTAGTATACTATATTATATATTGATATTGTATTTTAAAATTGAAGTAAACTACCAAAATAGTCTCTGTCTATTTACATGGGACCGTATTAATTCCATAGTTTATATAAATGTCAAAATAATTCTCATTCTTTAATTTGGGGTTGAAATAGTCCCCGTGGAGGACTATTAGAACTCAACAGTTGGAGGATATTTTGGCACTTTTATACACTCTGGGACTAAAATGGCCCCGTGTAAATAGTCGGGGAATATTTTGGCATTTTACTCAGTAAAATCATATTGATAGTATAAATAAATATTGAAAAAATTTTACTCTATCAAAATAACATATATGTAAATATGTGATATATTGATACATTAGAAAATATAGAATTAACATTTACAAAATTAATTATATTTATGTAGTATGTCCGTACTCATGATAATTTATGTAATAAACTTAATAAAGTGTATATATTACAATATATCTATAAATATATTATGATAATTTTATTGGATTTATTTGTAAATTTTGCTTCCACTAATAAACACCTAAACAAGTTTTTGAGAAGTGAATTCGTTAAATTTTTCCTCCAAAAATAAGATATATCATTTACTCTTATGTATGAGCAACCAAATAAGTCCTAAGGATGTGCCAGGATATTTAATATGTAGCATTTATACAAACATAAGCAAAACAATCAGTGGTGGAAGTAGGACTTAAGGGAAGGGTGAAACAAACTACTACCAAAATGATAGTTTCACGAGAAAAATATAGTAATACATAGCTTTGACTAGATATAAACCAAACCTAAGGGGGAGGCCACCCTCAACCCTTATTTCTACAATTAGACGCAACAAATCTGATAAGAGTTAAAACAAGAAAAGTCTAAGCTGTGTACATGTAATAATGGTTATTTCAAAACCATTTACGCTAAAAAAATGGGCAAAACTGATGCATTAAGGCTTTCCTACTATGGGTTTCAAAGATGAGTAATTTATGCAGCCATACATTTCACAGCAAGAGATAACCTTAAATAAAGGTAACAGAATGAGGCAATCTGCTCATTGTATCAAATCAACCTTTTTTAATTTGCAATAAAATAAATAATCATTAATTTGATCCATGTACTAACTGTGAGGCCTTGGCGAAATATTAAATAAAGAAAAAGGGAGATTAAAAAAGGATGATTAAAAAGTGAGTCAAAGTAATAAGTAAAAATGATTGATATGAGATCGGATTAACTTTGCATTAAATGAGACAAGCCTAGTTAATTTAACATTGCAGCCTAAGCCCCACAGCAACAGAAGACCTTGAAGGTCAAAAATCCAGCCAAATCATTGATCAAATCCATATTCTATTGTTTCGCACTTAAGCAAATAATCAAAAATTCTTGATGTGGAGGGGTTGGGAGGCTGAACCGGCCAACCCCAGAAGGGGCAAGACCTGCAGCCCGGCTTTTTTATTTCTTGGCTATTCAATGTCCTTCATTTTCTATTTTCTTTCTTATACTAATCCTTACCTATTCTACTTACTAATCTCTATTATATATATGTGGTGTTTGCTTAGGTTAGAGGTTGTTGATTATTTTCTGAATTCAGAGTTCTCCATCGACGTTTTCCCCTCTAAGGGTTGTATCCGACGACGAGAAGATGCCCCGGCTGTAACTTGTCCGAGGAGGAAACAATCTTCGTTGTTCCTCCGTTTTCTACTATCACCGATTCCATCCTACGCTTCCAAATTGCCGCAACCACCACCCAGCATTTCCAGGTTGTTGCAACCACCATCCTACGCTTCCAGAATGTCGCTGCCTCCTTCCTACGACTTGCAGGTTGTCGCAGTCACATTCCAGCGCTTCCAACCAGCTACAAGCTACCGTCCGCACCTCCAATAAGTCGCAGCCTGCACTCCAGCTCTCACAGCTGGTCAAAGGCGCTCCCTGTTGCTCATCGATTTTTCCAGCATCTCCCAGCGACCCGTCAGCCACTTCCAGCTTTTGTTCGACTGCAGCATCCCGTCTCCAACGCCTCATAGTGACCGCCAACTCCTCCTGGCACCTCCACCCGATCGCCAGCTATCACCAAGCCTTCCGGGCAGCCATCTGCTGCCTTCTCCGACATCATTTCCTACAGTCCACTGACACCTACAGCTCCCCTCTGGGACTCAGGCAGCCACCCACACCAGCTGCTCCCTCCGCCTAAAGTCACCGGTCACCCTCTCTCCCCGCCAATGTCCACGGATACCCTCCTCAGGTCGTAGCTAGGTAGTGCTAATCTTGTCTTCATTGTTTTATTTTATTTATTGTTTCGAGACTTAATTGTATCCTTCGTTATTTGTTTAATAATATTTTGTATTTCGTCGTCATGGGTTCAGTTTACTCCGGTATTATTTAATATCAGAGCTAGTATAGCCCTAATTCTATCATAGGGCTCCTTAAAGTCCGACAAGTCTTTTTCTCTCCCCTTTCTTTATTTTTTCCCCCTACGTTCTTTTTTTTCTTTCCTCCCTATATTTTCGTTTTCTTTTTTTTTTTCTTTTTTTCTTTCCTCCCTATATTTTCGTTTTCTTTTTTTTCTTTATTTTTTCTCTTTCTCCTTCTCTTCCGAGGGTCCCAAACCTTAAACCATGCTCTAAATAGATACCTACCAAACCCTACCAGGGATGAAATACGGCGGGAGATCTGTCGTCTGCAACAGAGATTAACAGAGATGGATGACGGAAACCATGGGTAGATTAACCTCGATCGCAAGAGAGTCGAAGGGGTAATATAGATGATGATTTGAATCCATTCCACAGAGAAGACATCAGCGATGAGGAATACCGACAATGTCGTTTCGCAATTCAATACCAAAGGAGGTCGAGAGAGAATCTTACATATGGGGGACACAGACTTCAACATCAAAGTAAATCTGCCAAAATTTGATGGAGACATAGATCTGGATGACTTTGACGTCTGGCTACAATCAATGGAGTGAGTCTTTGAATATAAGAACGTGTCGGTGGCTATACAGGTAAAGTTGGCCACCATCAAGTTGAAAAAGAGCATTTCCTTATGGTAGGAGAACTTGCAGAGGCAGAGAAAAAGAGAAAGGCGTGATAAAATTTCCAAATGGACGAAGATAAGGAAGAAATTATAGAGGAAATACCTACCACCTTGTTAATGTCAAGACAAGTTTTTGAGGCTCCATCATTTGTAGCAGCGAGATAATTCAGTGGAGGAATTCACAATGTAGTTCAATCAATTGCAAATGAAGTGTGAACTAGTCGAGCCAGAGGAGCAGACGATCGATCGATATTTGGGTGGCCTAAAGCTTGCTATTAGCAATGTGGCACAAGTGCAGCCCGACTGAACCCTTGAAGATGTCCAGACATTAGCCTTAAAGGTTGAAATGTAGTAGAAGCAAACCAGGCCAAAGACCTCCTTCAGGCAACAATCTTCATTCAGGCCATCACCTACAGCTATAGTTACGAACAAACCTGCTTCAATAGTAGTAAAAGTAGTACCGATGAGTGACAAGACTGAGCCTAGTGGGAAGAAGCCAGAAAAGGGTAGTTCTTCCAAGACAGTCCTGCCATAAAGTGCTCTCGGTGTCACGGTTATGGCCACATAGCCTCCAGTTGTCCCACAAGCCAAGTTGTCTTATTCACGGATCACGGCGTCGTTGATGAGATAGAGGAAGAGGACTCCGACGATAGTCCCAAGGAAAAACTTCAGCACCAGGGCAACGAAGGAGACATGTTAGTTATACAGAGAGTGTTGCAAAAAAACCTAAAACAGATTAATCATTGCTAAGGCACATCTTCCACATCAAATGCATGGTAAAAGGCAATGTTTGCAGTCTAAAATCGATAGTAGGCATTGTGAAAACGTAGATCCATGCTGATGGTGAAAAAGTTGGAATTAGTCATGCCAAAACATACTCAGTATTATTCCCTCACCTGTCTAAAAAGGAGATATGAGATATGAGTAAATCAGCAATGTCTAGTTGAATTCTCAATTAGTGATCGATTATAGAAGCAGGTATGGTGTGACGTGGTTCTGATGGATACATGTCATATTCTACTGGGGAGGATTTGGCAGTTCGACCGTAAGACTCAACACGACCGCTTCAAGAATATATATACCTTTAAGAAGGACGGCAAGCTCATCGTGTTGTTACCTATTAAGGATATAAAGGTGTTGGTGACACAGAGGAAGCATTAGTTTCAAGAACCACTTTCATTCAATCAGTTCGAGATGAGCTAGTAGCACTAGCCTTAATCCTACTCGAGAGAACAGAGATGGAGAATGGAATACCAATGTCGCTCCAACCACTAGTACACGACTTCCATGACGTATTGACTGTCAGTCTCCATGAGGGGTTGTTGTCACTAAAGGATATTCAACATGTCATAAAACTCATATTAGATCAATGTTGTCAAATCGACCCGCATACAGGAAAAGCCTGACAGAAAACGAGTTACAGCGATAGGTGCAGGATCTCGTCTCGAGGAGGATAGTTAGAGAGAATGCCATCCCCTCTGTTGTCCCCACATTAATGATACCCAAGAAAAATGGTACATGGAGAACGTGTATCAACAGCAAAGCCATTAACAAAATTACCATCAAGTGTTGGTTCCTCATACATCACTTGGATGATCTTTTGAACCATTTACACATAGCCTTCATCTTTTCCAAGATCAACTTATGCAATGAGTATCATCGGATATAGGCGGAAGACCGCTTTCAAAACATGAGATGGGTTATAAGAGTAGACAGTTATGACATTCGGCTTGTCAAACGAGTCAAACACTTTTATGAAGTTGATGAGCTAGGTGTTCTGACCTCACTTTGGGAATTTGTGGTAGTTTACTTCAACTACAGTGGGAAATTTTTGATAGTCTACTTCAACAACATTTTGGTGCATAGCTTTTCTAAGGATGAACACTTACAGCACTTGAGGGTAGTGTTCGAGTAATTGTGAGCAGAATAACTATATGTCCATCCAAAGAAGTGTCACTTCGTGACAGGTAAAGTATACTCTTTGAGATATATCGTGAAAAATGCAAGCATTCAGATGGACTCTATGAAGATTGAGGTCATTATAAGCTGACCCGCACCGCAGTCGTTCACCGAGCTAAGACAGTTCTGGGGCTAGCATTGTTCTATCGGAGATTAATTAGAAACTTCAGCACTATCACTGCCCATTTGATAGAGCTTTTAAAAGGGAAGGAGTTCACGTGAACAACAGTGGCTCGGACCAGCTTGGACAACTTGAAGGAGAAAGTGACTCTGGTGCCAATGCTAGCCTTACCAAATTTCAACTAGGCCTTCGAGATATGTGACGCATCTAGTGTGGGGATAATTGCATTGCTAAGCCATGAAGGTCATCTGATCACCTTTTTTAGTGAAAATATGAACAAATCTAGAAGAAAATACTCAACATATAACAAGGGATTTTATGCCATAGTACAAGTTCTAGAGCACTAGATTCATTACCTACTGGTGAGCGAGTTTACGTTGTTTGCAGATCAAATTTCCTTGAAATTTTTCAATAGTCAGAGCAAACTAAATGGCAGACACACCACCTGGGTGGAATTTCTAGCATCATTTCAATTCATGCTTAAACATAAGGCGGGAAGCTAGAAATGGGTAGCAAAAACACTGAGTCATCGCCACTTGTTGAGCACAACAATGCAGACCCGAGTTGTGCGGTTTGAGGTTGTAAAGCATTTGTACAATGCAGACGAGAACTTCAAGAAAATCTATGAACCATGTCAATAGAAACCAACCAGACAGTATTACCGAGCAGATGGATACTTATTCCACCAAAGTAAGTTGTGCATTCCAAGGTGCTCACTGAGAGGACATTATTCAAAAGAGTCACAATGGAGGATTGGCAAGACATTTTGGCAGGGAAGAGGCTCCCGCCCTCGTGTGAGAGCACTTCTTTTGGCCCCGATTGACGAGAGAAATGGAACAACACGTTACGTGGTGCGGGATTTGTCATCTGGCAAAAAAGAAATGGCAGAATGCGGAGTTGTTCACTCCCTTGCCAGTACCAGAGGCATTGTAGGTGGATGTTAGTATGGACTACGTGGTGAGTCTCCCAAATTGCAGAGGAACAAGGACTTTTTGATGGTTACAATGGGCCGCCTTTCGAAGATGGCACATGTAGTAACCCGTCACAGTACTTTGGACAAGTTTCACATCGTCGATTTATACTTCTGAGAGATCATCAGGTTGCAAAGGATTCTTATGACCGATACCTCCATCAGAGAAGTCAAATTTCTAAGCCACTTCTGGAGGACTTTGTGGGGGAAGCTAGGTGCAGTTCAGCAGCTCATCTACAAATGGACGGCCAAACAAAGGTAGTGAACTAGAGCCTAGGAAACTTCTTGAGATGTAGCGTGGGGAAGAGTATCAAACAATGGGATCTTATCCTAACTCAAGCCGAGTTCGCCTACAATAGATATGTGAGTCATACTATAGGACGCACACCGTTTAAGAATGTATGCGGGCGCAATCCACTTACACCACTTGAGTTGATATCGGAGGTCAACAAAGATGCTACAAAGCGGGTTCATGAGATTCAAAAACTCTATGAGGTTGCAAGGAGATCGCCAAGCAGGACCACAAATATCAAGCACGGTCAAATAAGCTTAGGAAGAATGTGACATTCCAAGGAGATCTCGTGTGGATTCGACTAAAAAAGGAAAGGTTTCAAAATTAAGGGCTCGAGAGCTACGTTATAGAAACCTCCATCTATATGCAGCTCCAGTTCATGATGTGACAAAAAAGAATGCATATTTATTCCATCAAGACGTGTTATTAAATGACAATGCCTACAAGATCGACCTACCTAGAGATTACAATGTTTCCACTATATTCAATATCGCAGACCTGACATTGTACTATGAGGACTCCAAAGCTTCGACAAATGAGGTAAAAGCTCCACACGACCATGAGAGATTGATGCACAGCTTACCGAAACACGGTAATGTAGCTGCTACAATATTGTGGATGCCCAATGCAAGAGAATCCTCCCTTTCCAAATATGCTGTCTCCCTTCCATTACTATTTCTCTTTCTTCCTCTTCTATTCCTTATTTTTTCTTTCTCTTCCCAATTCTATTTCTTTCCTAATCTAGTTCTTCCTTTTACAACTACTAGTATCTATCATAAATACGTTGTTTGTTATCTTAGAGTTCAGTTTTTTTGTCTTTTTGATTTCAAATTTCTACCCAGCTTGTCATCGATGGTTGTTCCCCTTCTAGGGTTGTATCCAAAGGCGAGAAGGCGCACCAGTTGTAACTAGTTGGAGGTGGTGATCTTCTCTAACGATTCGAGGGATACTTCGACTATAACTTGATCCTGCAGGGATAGTTATCCTTCCATATTCCCCTCCACCTGCATGATGCCATCTCCCATATGCCTCAGTCTTCATGCATTTCACTGTCGTCCAGCCCTCCAAGCTCCTTCCAGCCACCGCATAGGCATTCATGCCCCTCTTCCTGTTGTTGTTCGTTCTTCCAGCCGCCTTCCAGCAGCCACAATGGCCTTCTGGTTCTGTTCTTACTGCCGCCAGCCCCTAAAGGGTCTGTTCATGATGTTGTCCAGCCCTAGGCACCGGTCCCTATTGCTGTCCAATCCCCACGTCGACGCTTCCTTCGGTTGTCCAATCCCCCGCTGACGCTTCCTTCGACTGTCCAATCCCCCACTACCTTTCCAACTCCCTTCTAAGTCGCTTCCACTCGCCGCCAACCACCTCTCAGCAGACAGCTATCCCTCTTATGCCATCCAGCACCGTTATCACTTGTTGTAATCCACCCTTCAACACCACCGTCGCTTTCTTCCCTTTTGAGCCTCCTACCTTCCTACAGGGAGCTATTTATGTGTTTTGTGTTGTTTTCTTTCTTATTTTGCAGCATTGTCGTCGTTACTTGTTGTTTTATGTAACGAATTCGTCGTTGCCATTTTTGAATTCAGTAATAATTTTTTTTTTTCGGTCATTATTTGGTTTAATTCTGGTATCACCTTCCTTTATCCTTTGCTACTTACAACCATCGGTCATTCACCATTTCTACATATAGGAATAAGAAAACAAAGATGTGGAATTGCGGATTTAAATAATTATAGAACAAAGCAAAAAGGGAAAAAAAAACTTATTACCCTTGAAGCAAAAATAATGAGATCCCTCTCCTTCTCCCTCTCTCACACTCATTCATATCTGCACTATCATTGTAAGACATTAGCCCTTCATTTATCCTCTGCTTCTTCTTAAACCCATCGACCATTCACAATTTCTACATATAGGAATAAGAAAACAACAATTAGGAATTGTGCTTTTAAGAATTATAGAATAAGGCAAAAAAAGGAAAAAGAATATAACTTAATATACTTAAAGAAAAAATAATGAGAAACTTAATCCCTTTTGAGTAATCAATTGCGAACCAAAAATCTAGTCCTGAAAAAATTCCTATTTGTCCCAAAAATCTTCCACATATCCAATATTAAATCAAATAATAATAAATTTATAAATTGTAAAAAATTACGCACCTTAATTCATGAGACTGAAGCTTTAGCTATCATAAAAAAAAATTGCAAAGAGTTGCAAATTCAAAAGATTATCACCTTCAATTCACCTCCTCCAAATAAAAGTAACTGAATCTAGAAGACAAGCAAGGAGTGGGGAATTGAGAGAGAAGTCTTGTGGAGAAAATAGATTAGTAGAAGAGAACAGAGAGGACCCGAGTGGGTTGGAGAGAAAATATACTCGAGGACATTTTGGGCAAGGAAGAGATTTGTTGAAAAAGTGAAGCTTGTGAGGAAGAGATCAGAATGACAGAGGGCAGAAATCTGTACCAAGTAAGGAAGATGCTCAAAAGAGAAGAAAAAAAAAGTGATATCAAAGGATGAGAGGGAGGACGCTTATGAGATATAATATTGATAAGAGGGATGCAACGAGAAATAACATGATTACCCTTCATTAAATCATAATAAGCCCTAAGTCATTTTTTAGAACAACAACAAAAAAAAAGACAACAAAAGTGTAACTATCTAAAGAACCAAAAAAAAAATCAATTTATTTTAAAAAAAAGGGCATAACAAAAAATATTCCCGAATACAAAACTACTAAAGAAAGAACTGATCAATATCACCGTCAAGATCCATCACATGTTCTAAGGACAGTTTCTAACACAAAGACTCATGTTTGTACACATGCCAACATATATATTTCAAAGATCAATAAAACTGATTTATGAATGAAAAATGCATGTGTAGAAACACTTCGAACTCCATAGGAATTCATACAACCTAGCTATGTGTAACATCAAATCATGTTTTGCATATCAATTTTCGCATCAAAACTAATAATTACATAAAAATTGGAATATATGAAAGGACTATAATGCATTGATTGGACATACTCACCTCACCAGATGTAATGTGCTGGAGAAACTTGTCCTCAAATTCTCGACAAAGCTCCAAAGCAAGGGCCTTGGTTCCTTCAGCGCTATTTACCATTTGCTCGCCAAGCCTAAACAACTCATCATGCACCAATTGTGACTTACTTTGAAGCCTGCAAAGTTAGTAGAGAAAGTAATGCAAAACTTGTTCAAAACTAGATAAATTACATAAAATAAGTAGGCTGCAATTATAAATTAGAAACATAATTAAAGAATACTTTTTAATGATTGCGTATCACTGCTTACTGAAAGAGCATCTTTAGATGAAAGAATAAATGAAGGCTTCGTAATAAAATATTAAATGTTTAGGGCCTTAAAATAAAGGTTTGATTGTTAAAATCTAAAATTGAAGCTTTAAAATGGGAAGATCAAACAATTCTTCAGTTGGTAACATGGTGTTTTTCAAAAAACAGCATTAATCGATGTGGAGGAAACAAAATCCCAAACCCAGGCAAGATCGGTTCTGTGATTTCAAAACCATTGAGATGCACTTGCAGAGAAGTTCCTCCATATGGAAGTAGCAATTATTTTATTTAATACAAACAGCCCATGGCATTATACAATATAACGAAACAACCATTATCTCATTTATGCAGGTAAACAAGCAAATCTACATGCATTTTCTATAGTTGGAGTGACAACATATGTGGGAGAAAAAAATCCCAACCCTAGGCATGCGTCTCTTCTGTAGTCTAACAAAAGTGTGCGCATTTTAAGTCATTTATCTATCTCCATGACAGCATCAACAAAATCAAGTAGTGCATTTACACCATAGCACAACGTGAAATTGCCAAATAGGGGGTTTTATCTTTATGCGGGTAAACAAACAAATCAGCATGCATTGCTGACTCTTGGACTTCTTCAATATATTACCTCATTCTTATATATAATTCCAGCATGAAATTAGTCACCATACCTTGGAAAAAATCTGTATGTTATTAACAAAAACCCTTAAAAACAGCTGTATCCACACAATTTGCAACATCTGCCAAGCTTTAAAAGCAATGTATATATATGACATGGTAGCTTACTGCCTACTGCGGACGAGATTACTGCAGTTGCTACAGTAACCGTGGCACCCATTCCAATTTAATCTCTTTCCTTTCCTTTCCTTTCCTTTCCTTTCCTTTCCTTTCCTAATGATTTCTCATTATAATTCATTTCCTTCTCAACTTCTTTCCTACCCCTCTCCTTGCCTATTATATATCTTTCCTATCCTACTCTTTACCTATTTTATCTACTAACTCCCTTTTAATCTAAGTGTTGTTTTCTGAGATTAGGGAGGAGTATTATTAGTGTTGATTTCTAATTGCTGCCTTAGAGGTGTTCTTCCCCTTCGGATGTTGTACCTGACAACGAGAAGGTACTCCGGTTATAACTCGTCCGAAGCAGTGACCGTCTCCAAGGGTCAGGGTGGTACTCCGGCTGTAACTCAACCTCGACGAGACATTTCTCCTTCCGCATCCCCCTCCGAACCCCCTTCCAGCAGTCGTAAACCACTCGACCTTGCCGCCATCTTCATTCCCTCTACTGTTCGATGTTTCCTGCAGCTATCTTGCTGCTGCCAGTCGCACGAACCCCCTCCCTGTTGTTGTTCGACGCATCCAACGGTTGTCTTGTTCCCGCCAGCCCCGCTGACACCTTCCTCGCTATTGTTTGGCGCTTTCCACAGATGTCCCTGACCCTCCAATAACAACAGCCCCTCCCCTACAGCCATCAGCCACATTCCAACCTTCTTTCAACAACCTCAGCCATCTACTAATGGTCGACCTTCCCTTTTTCCACCTCCCCTCAATGGCAGCCCCTCCCCTACCACCACCAGCCACCTTCCAGCCTTTCTTCCAGCAACCAAAGCCATTTTCCATCAACCGCTAACCCACCGTCCAACAACCTTCCTTGTTATCATTCACGGATATATTTGATTGTTTATGTTGTTTGTCATTATTTCCTGGTTTTTCAATTTTCATGTTTGTAATATGTTTAGAATTCAGAAATAATAATCTGTGTTTTCTGTTGTGGTTTGGATTTCCTCCAGTATCATTTGGTATTAGAGCTAGTCCAACTGTAGTCCTATTCCAGGATTCCCTGGGGGGGGGGGGACTCGTCTGAGGTGGTGATTGTCTCCAAGGGCCCGGGTGGTGCTCCAACTGTAGCTCGACCAGACGTTTATCCTTCCGCAGCCCCCTACAGACTTCCTTCCAGCAGCCCCAAGCCACTCGCCGTTGCTGCCATCTTCATTCCCTGTTGTTGTACAGCGTATCCTGATTTTGCCAGCCACGCCAACCCCCTCCCTATTGCTATTTGACACTTCAAACAATTGTCTTGTTGCTGCAAGCCCTGCCGACATATTCCTCGCTGCGTTTGGTGCTTTTCGCAACTGTCCCTGCAACTTATGATAACCGCAGCCCCTCCACTACAACCGCCAGTCACCATCCAACTCGTTTGTACTTACTTCCTTGACAATGTAAGCGTGCATAATCAATGCACAAAGCTCGTCACAAAAGATGGAAGCCCGTGACATTTATTTCTAAAAGAAGCAGGGAGATTTACATAAGTACGACATAATTCTCATTTATGCCCATATCTAACATCTTAATTTTTAATATTTACATACATAACACTCAAATCTTAAATATCGCATAAAAATACAACTAATACTTGATGTAATTATGATACTAAAATGTTGTATATGTAAATATCAACATTTAAACGTTAAATATATAAATACATGAGAATTGTGTGGCATGCATATAAATTTTTCAAATAAGCAGTGCTTACCACATAAAAGGAAAGTAGTGTGTGATAAGATTATTTGGAGCTAGACAATGTTGCAGATTTAGATTAAAGCATTCAATTTAATTGCTTAATAGATTAGTACAACAAAAACAATCAAAAGAGATAGCAAAAGTCTTTCAACCTCACCCAAAAATAAAAAGTATGCCGCATAAAAAAAATAGCAGAAAAAGTGAAGGGATGTACTAAATGTTCAGTTCTTCTCAAAACGCATTAAAAATAAACGAAGCTAGAAAACATGTTACATGAAACTCAGTATGTTACCAACGATAATACAAATAACAGCTAATTACTGAAATTCAACCCGAATTAAATAATGTTGGCTGAAAAGTTTGAAATGTATGGAATGCAGCACAAGACCTTCCTTAGCAAAAGAAAAAATGAAAATAGGCAATCAATATATGATTAACTAATATGAGAGCAGCATTCTTAGGCATTCACATGCTTGGCACCTTGATAAAAACAAATTCCAAAATAAAATGCAATCGTTATATCACCAATCTTTATCAATTTATAATGGTCTTATTCAAGCTTAGATGAACTAAGGAGATGATTTCACATGGAACCTTGTAATAGTAATTTTGTATAAGTTCAATGCTATATTTTTTCTATCCAATTGCTTTAGCTTTGGTAACCAGCTGTACAAGAAAATATACTTTTAAAATATAAGTTTAACTCAAATATCAGAATGCAAAAAAGTGAAGTGTCACCTTTAAGAACAGACCAATCAACCTTCTTTTCTTTATTAAAAGGAGGGTAAGCACGTAAGGCTCCCTCCAAAATGATGTTTAAAGATAGGAATTTAGGCATAAAGATTGTTTCCATATTCAACATGATGACCTTTCAGTCACAAACGAGCAGCCTAGTTATTTCCAAAGCTCACCGTACTTCCCCTCTTATGGGAAAGCTAAAGAAGCAACTAGGTAAATTCAAGCAGGAAAAATAAAAAAGGTGCTCTTCAAAAGCATAAACACCTAAAACTAAACTTTTTTGCTTCCCACACATGTAATGTTATTTTCATGGTATAAGTGACATTTAATTTCCCTTCCACGAGCCCTTCTAATGCTGTTCAACCTTATGATCGCAGTAGGCTGTATAAGAAATTTTTTTTGCCAACTATTATATCATGCATCCACAAGCAAAGCCTAATCGCCTTGTTCTAGTCTGCTTATTTTTATGTGGGTTGTCACCATCTTTTGGGACATACAAAACATAATCAAGACAAACGATAGAAATAGCCCAAAATGATTCATTTTAAAAAATATTAAATAAAAGCATAGAGTTAGCTATGAAAAATCAATAAAAGTACAGAAGAAAAAGAATAAAAAAATAATAATAGCAGAGAAAAAAGAAATCACAATAATGCTTTCTCGAGATAAAGTTCTAAGGACTCGTATATTAAGGAATTAGGGAACTAGAACACGAAGCCAGGTCATTATTCCTTGGGTTCCTGAAATCCTTAGATAATTATTGCAGAGAAATTAAATCCATTAATTGAACTACAATAAAAATAATGTTAGAAGAAGTCCATAAAATATAAACAAATGCAGCTAATTCCATTAAAAAAAACTAAGTAGCAAATAAGAAGTGTTCCACTAGAAAGACAAAAGGAGGAAAATAAAAAAAGGGTTGCCGAGATAGGAAGTAAAATATACCCGGATAAGAGATTGGGAAGCCTCAGCTTCATCCGACCACGTATCTGTTTGGCAAGGGTATCAACCAAAGCTACTCTACCAAGTTTGCTTTGTGGAGCTCCAGTCAGTATAGATCGTAGACTTTCACTTTCAGCTCGCCAAGCTGTTTCAAGAGAATTCTCCACACCAACTGATCCAGCTTGTGCTGAAGCAATAGAAACAGCCTGACCAATCAAAGCAACCCATGGAATATCAGATGCTCTAGGAGGACCCTGGTTAATTAGAAGAGCCTGAACAGCAGATAGAGCTTTTTGGTCTCCAGCAGCCTGATCGATCTTACTAATAATGCCAACTGTTCTGGTTGCTGCCATAAACAGGTAGAGGTTTTCAAACCAAAAACTTGGCAAGGAACATAAAATTAATTTGTTTACACAAACCTTCTGCATCAAATTCCTTGGCAAGTCTGAGAGCACGTGAGGAAGAAATTTCAGGAGCCTGGGCAGCAGGAACTACTACTAGCAAAATTGCATCATTGCGTGCAGCATAATCACTCATCTAGAACCAGACAAAGCCAAACACCAAAATATCCAATAAAAACAACAAAAACAGCTCAATTTATATCGACAAGTATCATTACTGCACATATCAAAAGTTCATTAAGTGGTGTTCGGTAAAAAAGCAAATTTATAAGACAATCTGAAGCTTCTGGACTAATTCATGTATGAGGCACAAAATCCAAGATAATAATCATTCTAAATAAATTAACAGGGCATTTACATACATAGCGCACACACTTCTTATGTATTTACATATATCTCAACTAAACTTACTTTTTTACACACATAACGCTCAAATATTTAATATCACATCAAAAAAAGCACTATTCCTGTTTTTTTAAAGTGAAATACACATTTTCATACATAGGTTTAAAGCATCAAAGTATTATGTATATAAATATGAAAGTTTAGGTGTGAGAAATGTAAATATATAAGAATTGTGTGTTAAGTATGTAAATTTCCCTAGATTAAAATATAGATGAAAGAAGACAATAGCTACCCACCACAGACTCATCCATTGCTCGCTGATCTAATCCAGGAAGATCAATTAATTTTAATGGAGGAGCTGAAGAAAAATTATTACATTTTAGATATAAGTCAATCAACATTCATATTATATATTAAATGCAAGAAAAATAATATATGTTCAAACAAAAAGTTATGCTTAGAAAATGGTACAAGCTCACGTGAAGAAAATAATAGAAGGGACAATCAGCAAAAAAACAAAGAACATTTAAATAACTTAATGCGCCCAGATATTGCTAGTCACCCAAAAAATATATATATTACAAATATCAACGAGCTAAAAAGTAGGTCAAAGACTTCATTTAATTTCTGCAAAGAAAAGCATTACAAAGTTCTTCAATGATATCATTCTGAAAATCATTGCAACATAAAGTCTCTTTGCAGTGAGTTTTTCCTTCCAAAATCAACAATTTTTTTTTATTCCAAAAGCATAGAAAGCTACTCCTTTTCCATGATCAGCAATATCTAATCTATATCAACTAAAAACATTAATTTGAACTCCATTTTTATTAGCTTTTTGGATTTTAATCATTTCTCTTATCTTTCTATCTATCTTTAAAAATGTTAAGGGAATTTTAACAATTCTAAAAAGTAAAATTTTTCTACAAGTGAATTTGAATTCTTAATTATAGCGTATTTCATCAAAAACCACTCAGTCACTGGAATGGAAAATGTGCATGTTGAACGCAATAGTTTTATACTTTTTGTGTTTCCACCCTATACTTTGATGTCTTAGATAGTTCTGCCACAGTTTGAATTTATTTTAATCTTTCTAAATTTGATGTAAATCACAACTCTTGTAAAGTGGCAGGTTTCAGCTTGAAAACTAGAATGATGGCTTGAGAACTCAACCTTATGTTTCAGCGAACATTCGAGTAACGCAGCAACCAAAAATTAATGTGCAGGTGATATATGGAAAAAAAATCAAGATCTAATCTAGAACAATCAAGAATATTCAAAAAATCAACTAAACTACAGAACTAAACACCACTTCGTAACTTGCATCAATAAGAAATGACTCGTAGGCTGATCCAAAGCTAGCAATTTAGTGATCATCATAAAGTCATGAATATACCATATTTGAAGTTATGTTTAATTCCATCCAATGCTGAATGTTCGCAAAAAAACTTTACTTTTTAAATACAAGGAATTGCATTCAAAAGAGGCACTGCAGTATTTTAGATAATTATGATTAATTAGCATGGCATTTGACTGTATGTTTGATTTTGCAACTCCTAAACTAGGCAGTGTGGTGATGCAATAAAGTAACGCCTACCTCGCTTGAGACTTAACCAATTGAAATAACAATGTCATATGCATAAAAAAAAAATTAAAAAAAAACAATGGAGCGTTGTACATTTTTTATCACCTTTATGTTGGATGCTAATTTGTTTTACATATAAATCATCCTCTTTACAGCATATAACTTTATTACATTCACTTGCATTTGTCAAAGGCCACCATTTGTAGTACGTTATGTTCTTAAGTAGTTTAATCAATGCAATGAGATAGACATCAATATTCACTCCCATTGATTTGCAAGGAATTTAATCATTTCATTACTCTTGCAGACCAAAGAAATTATTCTAAAGAGCATACATATATGTGATTAAAAAGTATAGTATTACAATTTAGCACTTTATTTAGTGGCTTAAATGTGTAGTTGCACCGTTGAGGGCATACAGAAGACAAGTATAACGGATAAAAAAAAAGTAAAATTATGAACATCAAACAACCTATCAACTACTCCAATCAGGGGCATATGTTCGTTGCTAAGTACTTGAAAGAACAATGCATCAACAGCTCGACTAAGCAAGGAATCTGGTGTAAAACTCAACTTATCATGCAGCACTATATTTGAACAAAGCACTTCAAGTAAAAACAGATTACATTCATACCACACAATTCTTATGCATATACATATTTATCACCCAAAGTCTGATATTTACATTTATAGGACCTAGGTGTCATAAACCTATGAATGAAAAGGTGCAATTCACTTTTAAAAAAGTAGTGATGATGGTATTTTTTTATGTGAAGTTAAAATTTTGAGTGGTGTACATATAAATAGGAATATTCATGAGCTAGATATGAAAACACCTAAGAATTGTGTGGTATGTATGTAAATGCCCCCCAAGAGAACAATGGAGTTAACTTCAATTATTCACTAAAATTCATACAATGATGGCATAACGAATCTTTTAAGGCATTTGCAAAAGCTTAAACGAATGTATTGGATAAATATAACATTTGACTGGTAAAGGAGAAGGAAAATGGAACCTGTGCTAGTTCGTAGCTTGAGATAGATCTCGTCTCCGTGACTCCTTCCCGTGGCCTTGCTAAGTCTATCTTGAAGAGAATGTCTAAGAGCACCTATCCAATGCAGAAAAAATATGTAAAGCAATGGAGCAATACACGATGAGCAAGTGAAAGCAATGTCACTAATGATATTATTGCAAACAGCGATACTGCAAAGAAATGAAAAAAAAAATCTGGCGTGGGGCAAGATATCTCACTTGCAGAAACCTGCTGGGATTTGCTGTCAATCTGTAGAACAATGGATTTACTGTTCAGCGAGTTATCCCTCTGCAGGTCAATACTAATGGGCGCCCTAGTGGCTCCATTCTCCCCAGTTGGCTGCGTAATTAACCATGCCAGTGAAGCAAAACAGGTAAACAAAGCACTTTACAGAACTACACCAGATGCAACTTACCAGGATCGGATGCCCGATCAAGCTATTCAAAATAGCCGACTTCCCAGCACCCTAGACGGAGAATAATACCAGAATCAATGAAATAAATCCAAAACCCAAAAGGATAGAGCAAGAAAATCAAGCAAATCCAGATTAAACGAGAGACCCGCAGAAGATCACAAAACGTGCTCTCTTCCAGAAGGGTCTATATCCACGATCCAAAAAAGATAAACTTACGACATTTCCAAGAGCGACGACATTAAGAAAAGTTGAGGTCCGGCGTGAAGAAGACTTCTCGTCAATATCCTCGTCAGCGAGCAGAGCAGAGGCCTGCATCATAGACTCGGAGAGCTGGATCAACTCATCCATGGCTTCCATCGCACTCCGACGACCGGCCCCGTAGAACCAAAAGACAAGATCTGGATCTGATTAACAACGTCCCCCCACAAAACAGGCCAGAGAACCCGATTGATGCCGCTGGACAAGACGCCAAATAGCGGTATCTGCAACAAGCCCTTTGATCCAAGCTTGTTCCACTAGAATTCAAGAGAAAGGAAGATGAGAGGAAGATCGGAAAGATCGAGATCCCCGCTCTCCTCTTCCAGTCCGACCAAGAGAAGCGGAAGGGGAAGCGGCCTGCGTTGATTAATACATTGGGAACTGAAATGAGAGCGAAGGAAGCAAGCGGTAATTTCTTTCTGGTTGTTTTTTTTTTTGTTAGTTTGTCTCTTTCAATTTTCCCTTGCCTTCTTTTCCTCCCTTACAAAATGTTTAATTAAAACATTGCATCAATCATTTATAGGTAATGACATGAATCGCATCATATCATTCAACATGGATATAATATTCTCTCATCATGTCTGTACACCAATCTCTGTCTTGCAAACACGACTAATAAGAAGTACAATATGAGAAAGAGTGAAAATAACAACAATATGAACCCGTTATATCCTCCCTTACAAAATGTTTAATTAAAACATTGCATCCATCATTTATACGTATGACATGAATCGCATCATATCATTGAACATGAATATAATATTCTCTCATCGTGTCTGTACACCAATCTCTATCTTGCAAACACGACTAATAAGAAAGACAATATGAAGAAAGAGTAAAAATAACAACAACATGAACTCGTTATACTTTTTAAAGTTCGCAGAAGTTCATGTGTTTTGGTC